TATTATATGATTCAATGAGTGATTGAAACAATGTCGCTAATAAATCATAACAACCAGTTGCTAATATAGGGGAAAATGATAAGAATTAGAGCTGGTATGCTGCGAATACTAAGAAATGTGTATTCAATTTTCAGTTTGGGTATTTTTAAAATGCAGTAGTCAAGCGACCCATCTTTACATTAATGTAATACAGCAAAAAATTGACTCAAGTTTTGTAAGAGGTGAAATGCATAGGTGTGTATATACACTGTAGTAGATTTTCCCGAGTGATTAAAAAAATAACTAAAGATTTTTTTTTTAAGAAATAAGAGGAGAATGTTTTCTTGAGATGAATACTTCTTGAGGTGGAATTGTAATCGATACGCTTAGAATACATTTTGAAATAATTTTAAATGTGTGGTAAAGTCTAATTTCTTGCAAAATATTTCTAATACCAAAAAATAAAGGGGCTCGCCCAAAGCAATTTTTTTAGGTTTACCGTATACTCAGTTTTATTTCTGGGCATGTCAAACGTTGCAATATTTAAAATCTTGATGATATATTCAAAATTTGTGATGTATGTTCAAATCTTGTGATGTATATTCAAAATCTTGTGATGTATATTCAAAATCTTGTGATGTATATTAAAAATCTTGTGATGTATATTCAAAAAAATTCAAAATCTTGTGATGTATGTTCGAAATCTTGTGATGTATATTCAAAATCTTGTGATGTATGTTCAAAATCTTGTGATGTATATTCAATATCTTGTGATGTATATTCTAAAACTTGTGATGTATATTCTATAAAAACTTGTGATGTATATTCAAAATCTTGTGATGTATATTCAATATCTTGTGATGTATGTTCGAAATCTTGTGATGTATATTCAAAATCTTGTGATGTATATTCAAAATCTTGTGATGTATATTCTAAAACTTGTGATGTATATTCTATAATCTTGTGATGTATGTTCGAAATCTTGTGATGTATATTCTATAATCTTGTGATGTATATTCAATATCTTGTGATGTATATTCGAAATCTTGTGATGTATATTCTATAATCTTGTGATGTATATTCAATATCTTGTGATGTATATTCGAAATCTTGTGATGTATGTTCGATAATCTTGTGATGTATATTCGAAATCTTGTGATGTATGTTCAATAATCTTGTGATGTATATTCGAAATCTTGTGATGTGTGTTCTACAATTCAGTGATGCGTGCAATAAAATTGCATGACGCAACAGAAAAGTAAGGACAATTTTCATTGGTTAGAAATAACGAAAGTAGCTGAAGCGTCGGGAAAACCATGCAGGTGAGAAAAAACACATCAGTTTGTTTATTGCAGCACTTATTACGAGATGCACGAGTGTTGTTCCTGATGACATGATGGAGATATTTCGGCCTGCTAGGGAAAAAACTCAGTAAACGTAGATATATTGACAAAATTTGTAGGTACTTGTAACGATATGTCACGATGCTGCATTGTCAGATACAGTATTTATACATGCATGCTAAAAAGTAAATCTCGTAGTAATCAATATAGCAGAAGAATAATGAAGAGTACATACTACAAAAACTGTGCAATTTGTAGCAAGATTAATTTTTGTTTAACAGCTGTTTTTATTACATTTTATTTCGTATTATTACTACCAAATACTGCTACCGTTTGTTAATGTTATGCACATGGTTATCTTGTACTTGCAAGTAAATGTAACATTTAAAAAATAAATAATGAAAAAATAAGTCATTTAGGCTATTTGATAATAACATGCTAAATGAACATGTTTTGCTTTTTAATTCTCCTTCACTCAGTCTTTGTATAATGTATATTTTTAGACGAGCTGATCGCCAACCAGGAGATCAGAATGATAGCATCTGCTCCTGCCACTTTAAGGATGGTAAGAAGGAGGGGGACCCTGCATATTTTGCATGGAATGAAGGAAAGGCCATGGATTTCTCTGATCCTAAATGTACAAAAAGGTGAAATTATTTTTCAAAATATGACCGACATATCTTGTTTTTTGATGGTGGGTGGGTGGAGTTTAATTGAGAATATTTTACTAAAAATCTTTAAAAGGGTACATGTATAAACAGAGTAGCTTACAACTGAATAAAAAAATAATTCAAGTTTAATTATTTTACAAAGGAGGAAAAAACTCAAAAGTGAGGAGTCCCTGTCATCTTCACAGATGGACCAGTTGCAGATTCCACAAGCACCAAAATGTCAATATCAAGAAAAAGTAAAGCTCATTTAAAACACCAATGATGACAAATGACCAACACTGAAACATTTTCAATAATTTTTAATAATATATAAAGTTCTTTTAACTGTACATGATTTACAATATATTTTCAGTTGATATCAGAGCACAACTACTCAGCATCCTGCACATTTAACTGTACTCAAGAAATGCAGCGCCTCTCAACAGAAATACAACTGGAAAAGGAATTGCTTGCCCTAAAAATAGAGTCTATATAGTAAAAGGAAGCCAATATCAATCCACGATATTAAATACAACGAAGTGAAGGTACATTTAAAGGAATTCCAATTGTGATTTCCTATTTCCTAACAATTTCAGTTACTGTAATAAAAACTTGTTGCCATTGAGGGATGAACATCTTAGATTGACTGTTATGTTAACATATTTTGTTATTATTTGGGAGTGTTAGGTCTCTGATCAGCAGGGGCATTTTCTCTATATAAGAAGAAAATGGAGACTCCCTACCCACCCGATGTATTTTGTCGGACAGTTTTCTGTACATTGCAGGTAAATTTTTTATTTATTAACTTTCCAGCCTCTTATTGTATAGTACATTTTGGGGTTTGAAGTCAGTTTTTGCTTTTCTTTAATTTTTAAAAAAAATTATTTAAATTCTCCTTTTCTAAGAATAAAATTCAAAAAGTAGCTTCTGATTGTAATGTATAAGACTACAGACATTGAACTTTGATTTGTTATCAAAAGGATTGATTTAAACTTGTCTAAATTAATTGTAAACAAAAATAAAAGGGGACACCTGCTATTTCTTTAAGTGTTTTTCACTGGGGGGTGGGGAAACTTTTTTGTACATACTTAAGCAATAGGAGGGATTAGATAAGAATCAATTAGTATATCAGAGTCTTAAATAATATACTTTGCATAAGCATAAAAAAATTCTATATCAGTCTTTTTGAAACCTTTGAACTTTGCTTAATTAACTATGATTTATCCAGTTTTGGAGCTTTTTACCTAATTCTGGGTAGAATCCACCCTTATGAAATTATTAACTCAATTTTGACTTAATATCACTTTATTAACATTAAAGCACAAAAACAATTCATTGTACAAATATTTTATTTATTACAGTCACCAATATATCCAAATATCATCACCGGCCCAGACGTCATTCACTCCTTTGAATTGTGCTGGTAGCAGTAAGGTGTCATCATTTGAGATGGTCACAGTATCCAATACACTGAAGTCACAGGACTCAAATTTCATACATGTTCACAGGTAGGTGTATAGTCTTTGAAATTACCACAATTGACTAATTCTGGGACAGGTAAGTATGTAAGTATAGGAATGAGAGCACCAAATCACCGGATGCACACATGGCTTTGTTTGTTATGGAACATTAAACCGAATACTGAATGGGTAGGCGTTACGCCATTGGCTGAAATCAGGTATTTAATTGTTTTCATTTTAAAGTAAAATTAATGACCTTTGAAATAAATGATAGGATGAGGGAATATTACAGAAACTATAGAAATGCCAGGGAAGATTTTAGGAGTGGGGGTTGATTTTTTATGCTGCGTGTTATTTACTGCGAATCTCTATAAGTTGAAAATAACTGCAATTTTGACCTATAAACGCCATGGGACCATATATTTTTTTCAGTATTTTTTGTTAGGGCTTAGAACAAAGTTTGAAATGATGCTAAAGATTTTTCTGAAATTGTCATAGTAAAGTACTGAGAAGGCCTAAGGTTTGTATGGAGTTCTATGGGAAAATAATTAGTGGTCTTTTCCCTATACAAGATGCTGTCTGATGGCGTAGTGTAGAATGTAGCGTAGAATGTTTTCCAAGTCAGCTTAAATGCAAAGGTTTGTTTTAAAATTTATCATAATGACTTGCAAAAATTTAATGCAGTTAAATTTATTGTATTCTTGAAAAATTGACTGTAACACAATTTTTTTACACAATTACAAATAATCAAATTAATTTTTTTCCAACTTTTTTTCAGGGTCTCTGCCAAAATCTTTTGAGGATTTTTCCTCTGCTAGAGCATCCATGGATGCAATTGAAAGAACCCAGGACATCCCAACACATATGGATAATCAGGCCATGGCCTACAGTATGTACAAAAGTTGCTATACTTTTAAAGCAGTAACTTGCGTGCCTCCAAATGGTGCACTTACATTTTGCTCCATGCTGTACCCAGGTTCTACTTCTGATGTAGCTATTGTACGTCACAGCCAAGTTTTACGAAAGTTCAAAGCTGGAGACCTTATTTTGGTGGTCAAAGGTTTCACCATTCATGACCAGTTGCCCCAGGGTGTCTGCTTAATTATAAAAGCTCTTTTATCGACACGAGGCCAGTTTACCATACAAGAAGCAGCACTGTGTTACAAGATTGCTAAAGCACTTATTCATGTGGAAAGAGCCAACGAGAGGATAAAGAATTACGAGATTCTCCGTTACATACCATCTACTTACAGACCATTCTCAACAAAAATATTTCAACTCTGTTCTTGTCTTGTAAACTTGCAAGCTCCACTTTTGAAAGAAATTACTTAAAGATACATGTACTTATTATAAATTTGCATTGGCGTGTGACAGTATACACTAAACAGTGAAGATATTCATACCAAAGTGCAAGGGATAAGCAAATTTTGATTTGTTATCAATGTCAATGGTTATATTTGTTAATTTTGTAGTATGTTGTAATACATGTACTTCAGAAAATGAAAATCCCTTTTGTTAGCATGGATTTATTACAAGAATGTTTGGCAATTCCATTCTTCATTTGACAATATAATTTGGAAGAGGGTTTACTTATAATTTTAAATCTCTAGTTTAAAGTATATTTACCTTTAAAGCACAACTCAACAAATTCATGTTTTCAACAATTTATCTATTAAGAAAGACAAAAATGTTACATTTTCACTTTGAGAATAACATCTTCAATTCATTAATAAAATGATTCTAAATTTTGATATTCTTTTTTTATGTAGTACATAGATTTTATTAATCATCATTGCTATTTAAAATAGTCTTATAAGCCAGAAGTTTTAAGATGGATTGTGACATATCATGTCATACATTTATGAGACTTAGGAACATTCAACACATTTAACATGATTACCCATTTTCCATTGTTAGAAAATTCTAGAGGTACAAAACTAAGTGTCAAGAAGTTCAAACCAGAACTCAGTTTTCCATCAGTGCTGGAATGAAAATGTTAATGTAGAAATCTATAAGCTTTGGAACATTTGTTGTCCATTCAATGTCTTTTACTATTCTAATCACAATGCAGTCTACTCTTGTCCACACAATTAAGTCGCAGAATGTTTTGTTACATATGTGTAGCTGGCCTTGAATTTGATGATAGTATGGGTGACTGGTTTTCAGGCACAGGGTATCTTGTTTAAGATCTAAAAAAAAATCAAAAAACACTTAAGTTGTGTTGTACCAGTACATATCCCCTCCTTTTTCAATATCTTCATACCATATTGAACAGCTGCACTTGTAAATTAATACATGTTTTGAAATCATTTACTCACCAAGATTTTTAATTTCAAAGTACTGGACAATACAGATTTTTAATGTTATTTACCTATGAAAAATCCTTCAAATTTTGTGCCCCATCTGCTACTGTTGAAGACGATGCTGTATATGGACACTTCACCTCTACAATATCAGGAATGGCGTCTTTGGCTTCTGGAGTTTGATAAAATACACTGCATGTTGGTGGTCGAACAACTAAGCCATCAGGTGAAGCTCCCAACACACCGGATTCATGCAACCATATCCTTTTCAGAAAAAATTATAATACTACTGAATGCAAACAAACCATAATACAATTGATTTTGTAATGCAAACAAAGTCTAAGTAGAGCTTTTATAATCCTTCCACTTCAAAAAGCAAATTTTCTGGAATATGTTGGTAACTGAATATTTATGCCCCGCCATGAATATGGCCGGGGCATATAGTATTTGTCATGTCCGTCTTCCGTCCTTCTGTCCTTCCATCCCACTTTGTGTTTAGCTCTGTTCAAAGCTAAGTTTCAAAGAAACTATCCAAGATATTTTTATCAAACTTCATATGCTGATAGATATTGATGAGAGCTATGCAACTGCAACAACATTTTTTGACCTTTCCTTTGACCTTGACCTGACTTTTCTTAAATAGTGTTTAGCTCAGTTTTAAACATACCATTCAAGATGGTGTTATCAAACTTTACATGTTGATACAAACTTGCATAGATGATGCATCTAGAGATGAACACTACCGGACTTGCTTCGGATGCTGGATCTGACCTACATTTTCCAGATGAGTGACCAAATTAAAGTTTTTGGAGCAGGTCTATTCTTAAGGAACTATAAGCCCTACTTAGACCAAACTTGCTTGGATGATGCATGTAAGGATGGACACTACCAGACTTGCTTCAGATGCTGGATCTGACCTATATTTTCCAGATGAGTGACCAGGTTGAAGTTTTTGGAGCAGATTTATTCCTAAGGAACTATCAGCCCTACTTAGACCAAACTTGCATGGATGATGCATCTAGGGATGGACACTACCAGACTTGCTTCGGATGTTGGATCTGACTTACATTTTCATTCCCAAGTAACTATAAGCCCTACCTAAACCAAACTTGCATGGATGATGCAGCTAGGGATGGACACTACCAGACTTGCTTTGGATGCTGGATCTGACCTTTATTTTCATTCCCAAGTAACTATAAACCCTACCTGAACCAAACTTGCATGGATGATGCATCTAGGGATGGACACTACCAGACTTGCTTTGGATGCTGGACCTACATTTTTATTCCCATCTAACTATAAGCCCTGTCTGAACCAAACTGATCAAATTTTATACATGTACAAATTTCATGTTGCTTTACTAATATATCCTCGGCGGGGCATTCGTGTCCTATGGACATATTTCTAGTTTTTTTTTACAATTAGACTTCAGTAATTGATTTCTGTTTGTCACCAGGATAAGTCCTGTTATTTGTTTTGACACATTGAATGTTAACATGTCAGAGGTTGAATGAATGTTATTTTGTGCTGTATACCTGACTGCTCTACAGCTGCATCAAAGTCCTTTTCATACTTTCTCAAAGCATCATCTTCATGAGTGATACCCCATGCAACAGCCTTGATGGACTCCAGATTGTAAGCCGACATCAGCTGTTTCTTCAGTGACAATGTCAATCTGGAGAAGAAAATATGATTTTTGGTTATTAATCTTATATTTCCTGCATCTTTATGTACAAATATCTAGTCATTACAGTCGAACCTCATTATCTCAAACTCAATGAGACCAAGAAAAATGTTGGAAATATCCGTGGATTCAAGAATAATACATAAAGAGTTATCAAGAATAAAATGTCCCAGTCTTTTATAAATGGTTTGGACTTCAAAATTACTTTGACATATCCATGAAATATGAGATAATGGGTTTGAGATAACAAAGTTTGACTGTAATTTTAAAAGTCTTTTTCGCAAAAATTTAATCACACGTCTTACCGCCTTTGCTTAGAACTGAGAACTGCACCAAAGTTGGAAGCTGATATGCTTTATTTCCTTACAATCGACCACATTGGGTTGTTTCGTTGCCAATGCAGCTCTTTTAATGGATTCAGGGATAATGCATGCTGTAACCATACCATAGGGGTATCAGAATGAACATACTCTGGTGATGTTAACAGGTTTTCAATGAGAGGTACAGGTGGACCAGGTTCACATGGCTCTGGTTCAAGAATCCAATTCAATGCTGAAAAATTTCATTACTTGTGTCATTCTCAAAAATATCATCCATAATATCCATATCACATATACCAAGTATTTATATAAGAGTCCATACATTTCATTTTAGTGAACACTGTCATGGGTTTTTGTAATGTATGCATTACATATCAAATTTACAACTCACTTGCATATATTTGTTCAGAATTGTTCCTGTATATAATTTTGCACGTGGCATTCTTAGTGTGAAAATGCCATGTAAAAATTGGTGCAAATGTACAATTAATATTTACTTAATTATTAACAAGGTTTCATAATGACAGAGTATTTAAATAATAGAAGAATGATCTGATAATTCGCAAGAATATGAAACAAAATATTTTTTTTAATGCAATTGAATAATTTATTTTTCCTTTCAAAAATGTATGCTCATGCACAAAAATGCTATCATATTTATAATATTGTCTTTCCAATTATTCAAAGGTTGTTATTAATATTTATTACATAGTATGTTCAAAAATTGGGCAATATACATAGCCAACATTATGCTCCTCATCTTTGTACATTTGTTCACAATGAAAATTAACCATCGGTCAGTAATAAAATAACAGTTTCATAATACTCGTAATATAAAAATCAAATCAAACTGAAATAACAACAATGATTTGAACAAACTTGAATCTACACTACCTGAGGATGCTTCCATATAAATAGGATCAATTATGGCTTTGTCATTCTTGAGAAGAAGATTTTTAAAGAATTTTCCTATATATTTCTATGTTAAACTTTGGTCAGCCATTGTGGCCCCGCCCTACCCCCGGGGGTCATGATTTGAACAAATTTGAATCTACACTACCTGAGGATGTTTCTCCAAAAGTTTCATTTTTCCTGGCACAGTGGTTCTTGAGAACAAGATTTTTAAAATATACCACCAAATTTTCATTAAATCCCAATTATCTCCCCTTGAATGAGGGTGTGGCCCTTTATTTGAACAAACTTGAATCCCCTTTACCCAAGGATGCTTTGTGGCAAGTTTGGTTGAAATTGGTCCAGGGGTTCTTGAGAAGAAGTCGAAAATATGAAGAGTTTACAGACAGACAGATGAACAGACAGACAGCTAGATAGACGGACGCCGGACAAAATGTGATCAGAAAAGAGCTACAAATGAAACATTCCTCACCACAAAAGCCAGAAGAATATAGGGACCACCACCAGTAACATGTTTCTGGGAAGAACCAAACCATGCAGAGATAAATATCAATAGTCCTGAAGCTTCGATGCAGGACCAAGTACAAGAATTGCTACAAACACTACTCCGGAAACTTACCTATTATCCTATGATGTAACGTACTTTGTCCACTGCAGCTGGTTCTCTCATAAGCTGGTAGCGAGGACAGTTCAGGATGTCCTGTCAACTTTATTCCTCAACTTACTGTCTTGGACTGAAAAGCAATAAGTGGAAATCTTTTGTGTTGCCTAGTGACTTTGAATTAAAAAGAAAGTTGCAAGATTGTAAAGGGGGGGGGTATTGATGCTGTGCATTTTAATTAAATGTACGAAATCTGTATTTCACAATTTAATGCATTCATGTATTTTGTGAATTGTCTTACATGTAATAATTGTTGCTATGTATTATTAAGCACTAAATCTATTCAACTGCATGTGTAAATGGGGAAAATGGGGATATGTAAATGATGTATAATTGCAATGTGTAAAATGTGACATTTTCTTATATGAGGGAGTCTGTTCATGTAATTTTTTTTATTAATTATTTTATTTATCTTGATAAAATTATAAACAATATTGTTTTTCTTACCTGTCTGATGAACTCAACAAAGGTTACAGAGGTGAATGGTAGAATATGGGTATTACGGGTGTCAAAACTCTCCTTTCATGACCAGACTGCATGCCGCACTGTAAAATCAGCATTTTGGATCTTAAAAAGGGGAGGCTACTCCTGAAATCAAAGAAATTGTCATAAAAATGAGTAACCTGATTTTTCTTTAGGTCTCACACAAGGAAATAATTTCACTATATGTTACTATATAGCTTTAATTAAATAAATTCATTAACTAGACTCTCAGCAGATAATTCATGAATGAGAAAAAAGATTAATGCTTAGACAAACTTTGAGATCAGAAAAAATATACCCCTTATGCGGCTTTGAGAGTAAACATACCTATACCCCGAAATACACATGGGCAAACAGCCAACACACCATCGAGGAAGTTACATCGATCATGCGTACCTAAAAAAAAAAAGAGTTCCCTTTGATTCAGTGGCACAATTCTGCTGATATCAGGGATTAATCTAGGTTTTTGGGGAAACTACCCTTTCTGGAGAAATTGGGAAAATTAGCCGGGGTCTGGGAACCACTCGAGTGAGTGCAGGGCCAGCCCTGCTTGGGGGGTAATTGAATTTCAGCATTTTTGTGACCATTTAAAGCACATAAAGTAGGAAAGTAAAATCATTTTTCTCATATACTGAAAAATTTTACTTTAAATTCTCAGTTTTTATGAAGGAAAAATTATATTTGAGGTTTTTATTATTGTAAGGGGAATATATTACTCATCAAAAGGGGAAAATTAGATCCTGAGGGGAAATCTTCTCTAGGGGAAAAACACCCATTATCGGTAGTAAATATGCCCTAGATTAATCCCTGGATATGATATTCCTATTGCATGAGTCCAAAATTAAAACTGTAGACCTACGTAAAGTTGCTGAAAATGAAAAAAGAAAAGAAATATTATTGTCTCTATATACATAGAACTACATTAGACTGAGTTCATTTTGATTGGCTCCTTGCATAAGACCTTTAAGGGGTAATTTTATGCTAATTACCATGTGTACTGATTGCCATAAAACAAAAGAAAAAATACCAGCCTAACAATTCATTTGACCTTGACCTCTGACATACTTTACTAAGAATACCCTGGACAATTTGGTTTAACTTAAGACTTCTGAATTTTTTATGGCAGGTTTTGATAAATTAAAAATTTAATATACTTATGAGCTCATAAAACTGTTCTTTAAAACTGTATGATATAGAGTGTAAAAACTTTGAAACATGTTTGGAAAGTATTATCACACATGTGATATATCACCACAGAAAGATCAAAGAAAATCACCGCAGATATGCGACAATAATTTTTATCATTGTTTATTGCTTGTCAAGTCTAGAATATGATATATCATTACATATATTATGATTTTTTGAATTTATTATTTCAGGCTGTAAAAACAGCTTTAAAATATTGGGAAATTTTCAATACATTTACTATTAAATTAATTGGACAAATTTGTGAATGACATTAATCAATGATGCATAGCAATTAATCTTTTCCTGACAGCCACCTTCTCCTAAAAATTTGTGTTATTTATTTATTTATTGCAAAGTCGTCCCTGGACTAGTGCTACGGTCAATGGGCCAATTTCGAACCCTGCGTGGTGATAGTTTGTCCCGAGACACAGTTAGATTATTCTAACTAGCACCAATATAGAATAAATCATACTGATTAATCAACATCACTACAATATGAGGACGTAAAAAATAGGATAAAACATTCTTTAGTCCAGCAATTAGCCATTAAATTGTTTTAATGTCGTGTGTTAAAATACCTTCAAACGAATCAAATTAATGTTCTTGATTCCCACTTTTCACGTTATGACTGACTTAGTGCTTCGTGATACCAAAACAATTTTTCTTTTCTATTCATGCTTGCGAAGTTGTGCGCATTACCTCTTACGACCGCTCCGGCTACTTTCGTTATTTCTAACCAATGAAAATTGTCCTTACTTTTCTGTTGCGTCATGCAATATTATGCACGCATCACTAAATTGTAGAACACACATCACAAGATTTCGAATATACATCACAAGATTATCGAACAAACATCACAAGATTTCGAATATACATCACAAGATATTGAATATAAATCACAAGATTTTGAACATATATCACAAGATTATAGAATATACATCACAAGATTTCGAATATACATCACAAGATATTGAACATACATCACACGATATTGAATATAAATCACAAGATTATCGAATATACATCACAAGATTATTGAATATACATCACAAGATTATTGAATATACATCACAAGATTTTGAATATACATCACAAGATTCGATAATCTTGTGATGTATATTCAAAATCTTGTGATGTATATTCAATAATCTTGTGATGTATATTCAATAATCTTGTGATGTATATTCGATAATCTTGTGATTTATATTCAATATCGTGTGATGTATGTTCAATATCTTGTGATGTATATTCAATAATCTTGTGATGTATATTCAATAATCTTGTGATGTATATTCCATAATCTTGTGATTTATATTCAATATCGTGTGATGTATATTCATTATCTTGTGATGTATATTCGATAATCTTGTGATGTATATTCCATAATTCAAAATCTTGTGATGTGTGTTCCAAATCTTGTGATGTATATGCAAAATCATGTTATGTATATTCGAAATCTTGTGATGTATATTTCATAATCTTGTGATGTATGTTCGATAATCTTGTGATGTGCATTCAAAATCTTGTGATGTGTGTTCTACAATCTAGTCATGCGTGCAATAATGATAAAATGACGCAAGAGTATTTTAAGAAAGTAAGGACAATTTTCATTGGTTAGAAATAATGCGGAGCGGTGATCGTTATGCACACGGCTTTGCTAATGGCGAATGGAGTCCAAAAACTGAAATAGGTAATACCCTACTCTATAGTATAGTAAGACGTTAATGAATGGGTATGATTTATCTTATAATAGATGCTCAAGTTAGAATAATCTAACTGAATCCGGGACGTTTCGCGTCGATTCTATTTCGCACTAGAATGGTTTGAATATGAGTGTTCAACTTCACTCGGGTAAAATTAGTACAGGCAAACCCGGGCCGAACCGGGGCAAATTAAAAGCCGGGGTAGATCGAGGCATCGAAAGTAGCACACGATTTTTTAAAAAAGTCAAAAAACAACTTACTTGAGAAAAGTTACACAAATCCTGAAAGGAACTAGCGCAAATAATGTCCTAGTACTTATCCAGGCTAAAATATTCCAGATATATCCAGTGTAAATAGCTTTTATCCAACTAAAACCCCAGCTTTCTGCACAGTGTGAATCTCTACGCCCAAGAAAAGATAACTCACCCGGATGACAATAGGGTAGTACCCGAGGCCTTCCGAGTGCCATATGATATTACAATAACCAATGAAGAAATATTAATTTATAGTTATTGTAATATTAACGTAAAATTAAAAATTAAAAACCGGGTCGTGAAAACCGGATCCGATCACCCGGGAAAAACCTGAAAATTCCGGAATAGTTGTACAGGTTACTTATTTTTACTGGAGAATGTTTGTCACCTGAAAAGAAAAACCACCCATAAAAAATAGAAAAAGGCTCTTAATGAGGATATCTCCATGTGGTTAGAGCTGGGCAATGTCACAAAAGTGATAGCTATCAATCTTCTAATATGGCCTTAATTATTCTGGAATTTTTGGGTTTGCCCCGGGTGATCGGATCCGGTTTAAATGCCCCTGCATTTCTGAAAATGTGCAAATTCTGCATACATATAGCTTTTGTAATGTAAAACTAATTATATTTCATTACTATTAGTATAAAATATCAAAGAAAATTTTGTTAATTTAGGAATAAAGCTTATTTCAACTTAGGTATCCGATATAACATAACTTGGGGCAGTTTACGCTTTATAAACCGCGAAGCGGTTTATAAGAAAGCGTAAACGGCCCCAAGGTTTGTTATGTCGGATAACATAAGTTGAAATAAGCTTCATTTCTTATAATTTAATTTCAGTGTAGACAATGAGACAATATTTCCTCCGGAAAAAGGCTTCAGATTGAGCATTATTTTAAAAATAACGTCAAGCGCAGTAACACGTTTTTGACGTCACTCATTGTGACTTGGGCAAGTTATGTTATCCAAAATATTATATGTTCCTCAGAATGATTCAGCAATGACATTGCTTGATACAAGTAAAATTAAATTATATGGAAATATAATTATTCACATTCACTTTATTTGTTGAAACAGGGCATATTTTCTTCTCCACAAATTCATTCACCCATATTTGTAATCTCAAGGACCCTTTGAAAAACTTTAACCCCCTTAAAGGTACTTAGACACAGATTTGAAGTTAAATTTTTCTGTAAAATATCACGAATTATATATTTTAATAGCATTCCACACAAAAATTAATTAAAAACCTTAACTCATTAAAAAAGATATTTACAACTTTAATTTCTTTGGCGGGTTTGATTGACACATCCTTGCACTTTCACAGATTTTAACTTTATATAATCCTTAGGAAAAGTAGCAATATTATACATTTATTGACTGAGTTCGAGGGCAACATGCGTTTTGTAGGACCCAAGAACCAAACTGTCTGCCTGAGGCCGTTAGGCCGAAGGCAGACAGTTTGGTTCGAGGGTTCGACAAAATGCATTTTGCCCGAGAACTTTGTCAATAAATGTTTTGTTATACCTTTCATTTTATTTTATTTTTTTTAAATATATTTGCATGTATTTTGTACTTCATCCCGTGATGTAACATCAGATCTGTCACTGTTTAACACCAGCGAATGAAAATGAGATTAAGCCCACTCTGTGACGTAAGCGGTCCAACATCTCTCCGAGCGGTCCAACATCTCACTCAGCGGTCCAACATCGATTTTTTTATGCCCGCTCAGCAAAACATTAAAAATGTTAGACTTTTTTTGTATAGAATTGTATAGGAACAAATTTCTAAAGGTATAACAATGTTGTTTATTATGGAGAAATATTAAAACTTAAATCCAGAAAAATAATTTCATTCAGAGTAGAATTGTAAGAAAGCAAAACTCATTCACAATATCGTCATTCCGTTGTGTACAGAGTCTGCTCACCACAACTACACGGATTGACAATATATTGTGTGTTTGTATTGCTTTCGAACATGTCTACTCTAAATTTTCTGGATTATAGTATTAATATTTTTTATTACTACACAACAATATTGCCATTTTTCCTAAGGATTAAGAATAAAGTTAAAATTTGTGAAAGTGCAAAGACGTGTCAATCACGCCCGCAAAACAATTAAAAATTTTAATAACTTATAAATGAATTAAGAATTTTAATTAATTTTTGTGTGAAATGCTATTATTAAATATACAAGTCGTGATATTATGGAGAAAAAATTAACTTCAAATCTGTGTCCAAGCACCTTTAACATGATGAAATATTTAAAGTAAGAGTTGTCATTTGTTTAAGGTTTAATTTTAAATATTTGTTCAATTGATATTTTTCAGATTAAGGATGGCTGACAGAGATATTTGTGAAATTGAAGAAGATTTCATAGCATTCTTTAATAGCCTTTTAGAGATGTTTGAGTTTTTTGAGGAGAAAGACAGATTTACTCATGATGACATTGAATTTGGCCAGGAAAGATTAAGAGGAGCAATTAATACCCTGTCGTTTATTCAATCACATCCATTATTTAAAAATCGGGCATCACCAGATTTACAGCAATCTGTGAAAATCCTTCTGGATTATTTTAGTGATGCGAGAAAATTTTTTCAAGACATTCAACCACCTCAATGCAGTGTCCCAGCAATTGTGAATGGTGCAGGGGAGGTATTGCATACAGGAGATGTAGGCAGACCTACAGCATTTATAAATATAGAGCAAGTGATTTATTTATTGAACCATGGATTTAAATATACGGAAGTGGCCAAAATCTTTCTAATTCATAGAACCACATTGTGGAGGAGATTGAAAAATGAAGTGGATTTTAAAAGATACACAGAAATTGGTGATGAAGAATTGTCAACAATAATAAAGAACATAAAAGACGAGCATCCTCATAGTGGTGTTTCTATAGTGATTGGACATTTACGATCAAATGGCATAACTGTACAACACAGAAGGGTTCGAAGAGTTTTGAGAGCACTTGATCCAGTTAATTCAGCATTACGGTGGGGTATGATGACCTATAGGAGGGTCTACAGTGTTCCTGGACCAAATGCGCTATGGCATATCGATGGGCACCACAAACTCATAAGGTGGAAGATGGTTACCCATGGTGGTATAGATGGATTTAGTCGACTTATTGTTTATTTAAAGTGTTCCAACAATAACCTTGCTGAAACTGTTTTAAATCTGTTTATGGAAGCTGTTGAAACATTTTCTTTACCATCAAGAGTAAGAGGTGATAAAGGTTCTGAGAATGTTGAGGTTGCCAGATATATGGAGCAAACCAGAGGAAGAAATCGTGGCAGCTTTATTGCAGGAAGGTCCATACACAATTCTCGAATAGAGAGATTATGGAGAGACGTGTTTTACTCTGTAATTCAAACATATTACTCTTTGTTTTATTATCTTGAAAGCATAAGTGAACTAGATATTGAAAATCACATAGATATGCTTTGTCTTCACTACATATTCATTCCAAGAATTAATGTGGCATTGACAGAGTTCAGAAATGCATACAACTGTCATAGCATGCGGACTGAGCACCACTGGAGTCCATTTAAAATGTGGATCAATGGAATGATCAACCATAATCAGCAAAACTCTGTTGGTAATTGTGTTTTTGAGTTGAATGATGACATTTCTATATCAGACATTGAGACTTTTGGAATAGACCCAGAAGAAGTGCCAGACCATGAATCATTTGATGAGGAACTACATGATAATCAAGAAACATTTCAATTGCCTGAATTGCCAACACAAATGGATTTGATCTTTGAAAGGTTAACATCATCAGTAAACCCACTAGATTTAAGTGAAAATCTTGGAATTGACTTATTCAGAGCAGCAAAGCAAAATTTATACTCTCTTTTAAACTAAGATGAATTGTAAAAATTGTTTACGATATTAAATATTATGGCCATTGATTACACTTCCTAGTCAAGCTTACGCTTTAGCAATAAAACTCTGATCATAACATTTACTCCTTGGTTATTGCATGTCGTGATTTGCACATAAGACTTGGCTAACTGCAATTTCGATTACTGGTATTAAAATGTGGATCAATGGAATGATCAACCATAATCAGCAAAACTCATATATTAGTACTGGTTAGGATGTTGAGTTTTCCTTAAAACAACACTTTTTAAGGGATTACCAATTGTCTTGGTTCTATTTTATAAAGATATGAAAATGAACTCAAGTGTACAAAATTTATTGCTGGTCCTAAAATGTTTACCATATTTACCCAAATAAACATGTTCAAGTTAACTGCATTTTACAGTATTGTAAATGGCATATTTCTGTAGAGAAATGTGACATCTTGCTTCATATTGTATGCATAATCAAACCTACTTCAGTTACAAAGGTCCAAGCTTTAGATGGACAGAAGGTTACTATAGTGTAAATCCTTCCAAAAGCATAATATTGTCAATTGAACAAGACAGAGTTTTAAAGTGCCTTTAATGTACTAAGTTTTCATAAACTACAAAAATGTCACAAAAATAACTAGAACAAGATGTGCTTGTGAAACACTGATGCCCCTGTATGGTAATAGCAAAGACTGAACTTTTCTTAAATGCAAATTTGATTAATTGGTACCAAAAATAGGGTATTCGCACTGGAAATCAAGGGTGAAATTTGAAAGTAAACCAATGTTTAAGATTTTTCAATAAGTATAAAAATCTCTATTGTTAAAAGGTCAAGATAATTGGTATCCATTAAGAAGTTTTGTCACACAGAATAGTTATGTAGAGCATGGAAGCCCTAGACTTTCAGAAGTTATGGCCAAGGGTTAATTTTTTTTAAGTAGGTCAAATTCCAAGGTCAAAGTTCTTGTTAACAAATGAAAGGTCTTGTCATAAGAATTAAATATGTAAAGTATGAAAGCACTAGCCCTAACCCTTAAAAGTCAAAGTTAAAAGGTTTGTTTTTTTAAAGTAGGTCAAACTCAAAGGTCAAGGTCAAAGTTACTGGTATCCAATGAAGGGTCTTCTCACAAGGATTACTTATATGAAGTATGAAATCCCTATCCCATACCGATTAAAAGTTATAGCCAAGGTGAAAGTTTTTTCACAAGTACTGAAATCTACAAGGTCAAAGGGTCAAGGTTGTTGGTATCCAATGCAATGCCTTACAACAAAGAATATATATGTGAAGTTTAATTGTCCTGGTATCTACTATTCAAAAGATATGACCAAAGAAAATGTTAAAATTTTCATGTAAAATTCAGTCAAACGCTAAGGTCAAATTTGGTGGTATCCAAATAAAGGTCTCGTCACAAGGAATACACATGTTAAATATTAAAGACTTGGCTCCACTTAATCAAAAGTTATGGGCAACGTTCAAGTTTTTGCAGACAAACAGACAGACAGGCAGGACAAAAACCATACACCCCCGAAACTTTGTTTACTGAGGTTGTTAAATATATTTTTATGAAAAAGTCTTGTCAAAAATGTTTTTATCATTTTTTAATAAAACAATTAGTGAATTTTTAAAATACATTGATAAAAAAAAAAATACAAACTCTCAGGTAAAAATGTATTTTTATCCATTTTTTTTTTTGGGGGGGGGATGGAGGTTCATAGCTTAGTAATGTACTTAATTAAGCAAAAAACTCTCTTGCACCAAAAATTCTTAATGAACAACCCAACCCTAACATTTAACTTGATTATGATTTGCTTAATCTATTCCAGTATGTAAAAATGATTTGTGTGCATTTTGAAAAATTTAAACATATTGCAAATATAATATTCACTGAGAAATTTGGCCTGCAACTTATTAACTTCAAAATGTAAAATATCATGTTTCTTCATGCAATCATGAAAATGAGAGTAATTCATGGAAAAAAAGGAACATGAGATACTGTGAATTGCCAATTCAGTTGTCCAACAAAAAATGTACCAACTGTACACATAAGAAAGAAAGACCAATTCGGGAAACATTGCTCACTTCATCTCCTTGTTCAAATTTGCATATCAAGTACACAACAATAATAGGCAATTCCAAGTTATTTCTATGTTTAGCATCTACAGACAGATTTCTTTTTTAGTTTATACATGTAAAATTAAAAACAATCACAAATTAATATTGACAAATACAATAATCTTTGAAAGGCAACTTACTCTTGAGAGATCGGTTTCTTATTTTAAAAAATATAAAATGGGCGTACCAAAAATATTCTGTTTTAATAAACTAGTATTTTGACTATAGTTACAATGAAAGGAGATCTCTGCAATGCAAGAATTCTCAAATGATTAGAAATTCTAGAATTGTGTTTAAAATATTGTGACCCCCCCCCCTCCCCTATGAACTTGTGTATTTTTTTCCATACAGAAAGATAGGGTGGATGCTAAAGAAAGAAAAAACTTGGAATGGCCAGAATCTTTGTGTTCTTCTATTAATGTGTAAAAGTAATTTCATGAACAAAAAAATAAAATGCATAATTTAAATCATCTCAAATATTTTGAAGATAATAGTTCTTAAAGAAATGGGACTTGAGAAATGAACTGGACGACCTCCATTATATATACCATGGATCTAAATTCTCTTTCACTTAATAAATTTAATTCTTATGCAATGTAGTTCAAATGTCTACAAAAGCTAACATTTAAAAACACACACATGTACACAGTAGGCCCTTGTAAGGTTTTGTACAGGAGTAAATTATAAAATAATACATAAAGTATACCAAAAATTGAAGTAAATACAATGCACATTCTAAAGTGCCCACTGTCTTTTCATTTCTCTAAATAGTCTACTCTAAATAATAGGTAAAATTTGACTGTTAATAACCTAAACAGAACATCTTCGGACATCTTGTTACATTCTTATCAGATGAATATAAAAAACTGACATTAATTGACATCAATATATCATTCAAATCTTATGGAAACCTTGTGACTCTTTCAATGCTCTAACAATCAATGCTGAAAATACATCATGGGAGCTGCTCTAAGTTACAGGTAAAATTTGACTGGTTACACATGTAGCCTAAACAGAACATCTTTGGACATCTTGTTACATTCTTATCAGATGAATATAAAAAACTGACATTAATTGACGTCAATATATCATTCAAATCTTATGGAAACCTTGTGACTCTTTCAATGCTCTAACAATCAATGCTGAAAATACATCATGGGAGCTGCTCTAAGTAACAGGTAAAATTTGACTGGTTACACATGTAGCCTAAACAGAACATCTTTGGACATCTTGTCACATTCTTATCAGATGAATATAAAAAACTGACATTAATTGACGTCAATATATCATTCAAATCTTATGGAAACCTTGTGACTCTTTCAATGCTCTAACAATCAATGCTGACAACACATCATGGGAGCTGCTCTAAGTAACAGGTAAAATTTGACTGGTTACACATGTAGCCTAAACAGAACATCTTTGGACATCTTGTCACATTCTTATCAGATGAATATAAAAAACTGACATTAATTGACATCAATATATCATTCAAATCTTATGGAAACCTTGTGACTCTTTCAATGCTCTAACAATCAATGCTGAAAATACATCATGGGAGCTGCTCTAAGTAACAGGTAAAATTTGACTGGTTACACATGTAGCCTAAACAGAACATCTTTGGACATCTTGTCACATTCTTATCAGATGAATATAAAAAACTGACATTAATTGACGTCAATATATCATTCAAATCTTATGGAAACCTTGTGACTCTTTCAATGCTCTAACAATCAATGCTGAAAATACATCATGGGAGCTGCTCTAAGTAACAGGTAAAATTTGACTGGTTACACATGTAGCCTAAACAGAACATCTTTGGACATCTTGTCACATTCTTATCAGATGAATATAAAAAACTGACATTAATTGACATCAATATATCATTCAAATCTTATGGAAACCTTGTGACTCTTTCAATGCTCTAACAATCAATGCTGAAAATACATCATGGGAGCTGCTCTAAGTAACAGGTAAAATTTGACTGGTTACACATGTAGCCTAAACAGAACATCTTTGGACATCTTGTCACATTCTTATAAGATGAATATAAAAAACTGACATTAATTGACATCAATATATCATTCAAATCTTATGGAAGCCTTGTGACTCCTTAATTGCTCTAACAACCATTGCTGGCAACAATTCACATGAGCAGCCCCGGGGCAGACTGAAAGTTAATGAGCATGTAGAAGAGAAAGGCAGTCGCTTCTCATCATCATTGTCATAAAACTGCATGGAGAGTTTCGAATCGAATCCATTTACAGGAATCTCTCCCGCACCAGTTATAAATGAAAGTAGATCTTCAAAGTTTAGATCTACCAGCTTCTCTACAAGATAAATTAAAATGTTTAAGGTAGTTTTCTTTATATTCTAAAACCTTTCCTTCAGCTTAACATCACAACATTCATTATATATACACTTAGTGAAATGATTACTGTATACAGGGTTATTTTCGCCCCGTGTTATTTTCACCCTTTTGCACTCCCAAACAATTTTGCCCCATTTTAAATTCACCCATTCATAGTTCTGTTTAAGAAATTATGTTGTGTTATTTGAATTTGCCCAGTTTTTAATTCGCCTAATCAAGAAGAGGGCGAAAGGGGTGGAAAATAAAACGGGGGCTGAAATTTCCATTGGGCCATCCTTAAAAAAATGTTCGTTTGGAATTGCCGCCTGAAGGGTTTCAGACACATGAGGGAGGGAGGGAAATTATTTTGTTTTTTAAATTGAAAATAAATTTTGATAAAAATCTCAGTAAACAGTAAAAACATTTTTTCTGACTTAAAAAAAAGCATCTTCCATAAAAAAAAAACTAATTTTTACGTAGATCTGAGACTATATTTCAGTGTTTTGTATGGTGCATATGATACATGTAATGGGCAAAAAAGATTGATTAAATAACAAGAAATATTCTTACTTTTGGTCAATAAATTTTTTCAGGAGGGGGGTATTTCAGTGAGGCGGGAGGCAATTCCAAACAAACCTTAATTTTATTTTGGCCTTGTTTACAGTAATCAAAAGCAGATCTAGAAGAAAATAATTTAGATTAATATAAAATTTTCCAGCAACATTATTAGCTACCATTGAGGGTCACGTCAAAGGTCAAATTCAGAACAACTCTAGACTGATCCTTTTATAACAAATATACAATGATTTTGCAAGAAATATGATTGGTTGATATAATTTGACCTCTGACATGACCCTCTATGGGATGTTGTTAGATATTAGTGTAGCAAGTATGCAAGCGGATAGAACATTAGATGGTTAAGTAAATTGGATTATCTAATCATGATCTCAGGGTCCGACACTCGTCAAAATTTGGTCTCGCCATTCGGGCAACCTTGGTATGATCACAGGTTGCCCAAATGAATTTCAGGTCGTCCAAATAAAATATCAATTGAAACAAAACTTAATGACGATTGTACAATTGGTTATAATTGTTAAGATAATTAATAGAAGTTGTGTTTTTGCATTAAAAAATGTAAACCAGACATTTTTGGAATTTAAAATGTCTTCTAGTATTTAATCAAACAAAAATATAAGCAGAATCAGACTTGCAGAATGCTAAAGTAGCTTAAAACATTCATTTTCACTTGCCATGAAGGCCTAAATATATAGGGTCATATTACCCTGGACTGAATTAATCAGGTGTTACAATACAGTGGACACCCAAATTGGCTGTGTAGCAGCAGAAAACGATCATTATGAATGATCAGATAGTTGTAGGGGAAATGAAGATGTTACAATGATGATTATTACTATTTATATTAATAAGGTGATTTGACTAAGTTTGCATCTTTTATATCTCAAATAATACTTTATTAAAGAATTTTAGTAAAAATTGCATCAGCTGATTGATCAAACGAAGATTTGGCAGGAGAAAAATCTTCGCGGCTGCAATATAAACATGTTGAATGGGTTGGTTTTGTTACAGGAAAATATGTTTTCAAGGTCTTGTGAAGTTTAGTTTAAAATATTAAACATCATTATGAAATATTCCCAACATGTCCCAGGTCGTCATTTGGGCGAGCCAGACTGAAAATCAGGTCGTCCGAAGTCATTTTAGGGTGGAAATGGCGATGGTAAGTAAATTGGATTATCTAATCATGATCTCTAAGAAATATATAGGAAAATTCTTTAAAAATCTTCTTCTCAAGAATAACAAAGCCATGATTGATCATATTTATATGGAAGCATCCTCAGGTAGGGTAGATTCAAGACTTCTGTTTAAATCATGTACCCTCTCCCCTTTAAGGATTGTTTGGGACCACTATTGGGTTTAAACTTTTCAATAATAAACAGATTTCTGTTTTTTCCCAGCCACATTTATCATGTGAGCGATGTGGCCCATGAGCCTCTTGTTCTTGATAAATATATGCACTTTGGTTTTTTTTAAATGCTTTTCCATAAAAATGGCTCATATTTAGTAAATTTCTATTAGCTATGAGATAGTCATGTTACAAAATCCATAACCCATAGTGCAACATACCAAATATATTTAGCTCTTATAGTTTACTTAAAACAATGAAAATTGCCCAGAGTTTACAGATAAATATCAACTGACAGCTTGTCAGCTTACATAACTGAAGACTGTTCACTGCTTGTGTGAGGTGTGTGTAGAGATTTCAAGAATTTATGTCCTTATTGCAATTTTGATTTTATCAATAAACAAATAAGTGGACAAAGCAGCTGACGAACAAACCACTATTACCTTCAATGTCTTGAAGAAAGATTTCCCATGCATAAACGGTTTCCTCTTCTCTCTTCCTCCTATTTGATCCTTCTGGACTGTGCTGTACTTCTATTTCATCAATGAAGAATTTCTTTGAAACAGCTCTGTGTGTACAAAACACATCCTCCCATGGCAAGGGGTCTTTCACGATCAGGTCCCATAATCCTCCAACTTTGTTCATACCAGAACAAAACTGTTCCACTTCAGCTGACACCCTATATTTGTAAAAAAAAAAAAAAAAACATTATGTGATGTTATATTAATACTCAGTCTGAGAGATTTTAATGCAAATATCTGAGCAATAAATACAAATATAATATAAGAAGATTATTTTCGATATTTTGATTGTCTGAAAGGACGTCACATATGATATTCCTCTTTTTGTGATACTCTGCAACGTGAAAGCAGAAAATGATATCGCACGACACACCGTTTGGATGCACTGATGTAGAACTTCAAGTAGGCCTTATGACGTCATGTCATAAGACCTAGAAAAAATATGTTTGTTTCCGCTTTATCGACCAACCCTAATTTATAGTGCCGACCCTAAAATTTTTTTCAATGCTTTTGTCCGATGAAGTGCAAGATTTCACGTAGGGAGTTATAGTCTCCAACTTTGCAAACTTTTCAAGACAAAGTTTGGGTCACCTTTCCATTATAAGTTTAAGTCACAGAAATGCTTAAAAACACCATGTCTTTTGTCATTAATGATACTTCTATACACATTTTGATTAAAGAAGCAAAAAAAAATTTAAAAAAAAAAAAAAAATTGCCTGCCTATCTACCATATATTTTTTCAGTCTGAAAGCGGAAACGAACATATTTTTTTCTACGCTTAATATAACAGTCCAGTCCAATACGAAAAATCTTAATATTACAAAATATCGTAATATTATTCTTATATTACTAGTTTTTGTTATATAGTTAAATTACTGAAACTCGTAATATAGCAAGTTGAGAGAGACTATATTACGAGTTTTCGTAATGCAAGACAAAATATTTACATTCGTTGTGTTTTTCTAGTAAGCTTACTGTGAAATTGATTTGAAAATCATTTTCGTGTATACTCACGCGTAGAAATATACAAGGAGAAACGTGCGTTAATGTGACGTCACAATGAGGCTGCAGCGACGTTAGTAAAAGTACGATAAAGGGCAGCGAGGAATTCAAATATTTAGCATATTTTAGTTGCTTCCAAACATGTAAAATGTAAATATAAGAAATGTTTTTCAGTTTAGTGTGAATTATTGGTGCGTGAATCACAGACTTGCACGTAGGCATATTTTTCATGAAGCGCTAGCACGCTTCATGAAATATGCCTACGTGACAAGTCTGTGTGATTCACACACCAATAACTCGCTCAAAACTTAAAAACATTTCTTAAATAAAGCATTGAAAGAAACTGAATGATGTTTATGGAAGTATGACGTCAGAAATACATTATGCCCCAATGGTACTAGTATCACGTGGTCAATTTGGTCAGTGACGTCTATCGAAAAGTATGGAAATGCAAGATGAAAGTAACAATGGTAATGGGTGAGTGAACATTTTGTTTTATTATTCTTATATAAGAATTTTCCCAAGGATAGGAACAATTTTCCATAAAATTTCAATGTATCCTCAAGCTTGTCACAATGGTCTATAATCCCAGAATTCCCTAAATTTTTCCCGAAGTCTACCCTGAAAATCAGACCCTCATCTCAAACAACGAGATGTTACGAGAGATAACTTGTAAGACTCTCACTAGGCTCTGAATCCGCTTGCACTTGGATCAAATGCACCAAAACAAAGAAAATCCACTAACCATACATATCCACGATATCATAATGATGAAACCAGACACCAATAATCTCTGATGAAACATAACAAAGAGGTTGTATCAGAAAAAAGGGAAGTAACTCTTAGAAGAGTTAGAAATTGCTTATATTACGAATTTTAGTAATATTACGATTTTTCGTATTGGACTGGACAGTGTATAAGAAGCGTGTTTTAACCAATGGGACGTAATGACAGCCAAGTCTGTTTAGTTATGACTGTGTTAGTGCATTCACTTTGAGTGATTATATAATATAACTATTATAGACTTCAGTGAATGGTCAATAATTATAAGGACTCATGGCAATTAATATTGACCTCAGACACAGAAAATGATAGCAAACCCCACATGCTCGGTTGCTATCATTTTCTGTGTCTGAGGTCAATATCAATTGCCATGAGTCCTTAAAACCTACAATCAAGTCCATAATTGTACAAGTGATTCTTGTTTTATCATCATCAGAGTAAGTCAGTTGCTCAGGGGAAAACTCCATTTCTTGATGATCAACAATTATATCAAACAGATTAAAAAGAATTTTTCTATAAATTATCGATAAAAGTCAATGCAACTATAGTCACACATCAAGATTTGTATCATCATTGGAACCCTTTCATAGTCAACAATCTATATTACATGTACCTGTAGAAAATAAAATTCTTCACCAGAATCCCAACTACTTCTGGTATGTCTTTCGGTTTCAACTTCCAAGCTTCTGTATACCCCTGCTCCAGAAGCCATTCTCCTTTTGAACTCAGAAAGATATCTCTTTCTTGATAATCTTTAACATTTTGTAGCTGTAAATAAAAAATAATGACATCAATCACCTGAGCACTTCACACAGAAGATCCAACATTCAAATAATGGTTCACTATTGAAATCTTACGTACAATATATAATAAATTGCGATATTCATTAAGTTTTTTGATTCACCAGAAAAATTAAAAATCTTTAGAATATCTTGTTTTATTTTATGGTCAAACAAGAAGTCAGTGAGCCAATGCTCAGTTGTAACCCCTGCTCTGATTTGAATGTATACTATAATGATGTTAATGTACACTTGTTAAGTTATGGGCAAATGCAGTGATATAAACAGGAAGTTAACAAGTGTTAATTATCAGATATGAACAAAATGGATCCCACTGTATGAAAGGCCTCAGCAAAGAATATGTGCTAAAATTTCGTGCATCTGGTATGTCAGCAGTCCCTTAGAAAAACTGTGACAAAAAATTTGTAACAGACAGACAAATGATTAACAGATACATAAGGGTGAAACAGTAACCCCCTATCCTTCGGAAGGGGTGGGTATAATGAACTCTGAAATATGAAATTTACAGATAAAGGGATTTTGTGCCCTGCATATCTTATGAGATATTGTAACAAAGAAAGGGAGATTAGTAGCACTTGCGCTTGAAAATTCTATTTTAGGTAACCATGACAATACCCTTAATTAAAATCAAAAACTGATGACTTGCAGAATTTTGTATCTTAATAGTGTATAGTCTTCTTTTGTGACAAGTTCAATTCAAATATCAGACTAAAACTGTGTGAGATGTACCATTTAGAATTGGATGTGTAGTAATGCCATGAATGCCCCCTGCAGGCAGCCAAAATCATCCACCAGGAACAAAATTAATACAAACTAAATCTGTATCTTCTAAAATACCTGTATATACAATTTAAAACTTATACATGTACACATACATCCTTACATAGGTTAGAACACAGGTACTTGTGGACATGACCCCCCCCCCCCCCAATATTGAACCCCTTGGGCTTATTGGATTTTTTTTCCAGAAATTATATTTATTACACTAATTCATCATGTGTACAATATGAAATAAAGTGCCACGCCACAGCATGATACGCCCGTCAAAATATTACAATTAACTTAAACAGTTTAGAGTGCAAGAAAATCATGTAAACCTTGATTCTAAAATTTCCATGATTTTTTCTATTCCTTAAAATATTTGTTTATCCATCGATATCCCCTGTGGTGTAGGCATTAATTATAACAAATTACATCATTGATAGATTTCTATACTGGTTGTATTAGACCTTAATTGTCAAATGCTCATCATATTGAACAATATCAAATTAGTCTTAACAACTTAATTTAAACCAAATTAATTTTGAAAATAAAAGGCTAGGCCATCAAATGACATATGCTATTTAAAATGACCAGCAGTTCTTCTGTCTAATTCTCAAAGGATACAGATAAGAAGATGTTAGCTAGCCTTCCTAAATTGAACTCATTAATTAATCTTTGACTGGATGCTTGTCTTCTCATTACTATAGATGAATGAATCTGCACTATCTACCATAAAATATTTTTAAAACATATAAAATACTCAATTTTTTTTTTTAACATTTAATGTCAGAAAGGTTTAAATATGCAATTTCTATGGAAAATGGACATGCTGATTCCACCCCTATGAAAGAAGAAGGTATGGTTTCCATACAAATTTTGCCCTGTGATTTTCTAAAAAAAAATGAAACTGGTGTAAAAGTTGAAAACTCATGCTTTTTAAATAATTGGAATTCAATGCAGAAAAATCATACAAGTCATTTTTCTCACATGTGTTTTTAAATGCTAATTATGACGTCATAAACATGTACATTTTCCCGTATTTTCTTAAAAAGTTGCAGAAGACACCAATTTTCAATGGAATTATCTTTCAGATAACATTGTCCACAGGCATCGCCCACAAAGATCTTGAGATATGTGATTTGTTATTGAATTTTTCACAAAATATAAAAAAAATAACGTGGGCGACGGCTGTAGACACTGTTTTCTAAAGGAAAATCCCCTTTGAAATGTGCCATTTTGAGGCTTTTTCTGTTGAAAATAGAGAAATGCTTCACATTAACGACGTCATATTTGCAGAATGGTAAACCTTCATGCCATATTCTTTCCTGATGTATCACAGTCATATACTTAACTAATATTTAAGCCAGTTTCAAAACTTTTTGATGTCATTACATTTTTAGGGCACAAAAAAGCCAAAACCATACCTTCTTCTTAGTTTTTTAAATTAATAATATTATATAATATTAGATTACCGGTAGTTTATAATGCAATATCAAATTAGTGTTAATTAATTTTCATCAAAATCATTTTAAAACTTAGGCTAGCCAACAAGAGCTATTTTTAATCCAACAGGCTTACCCATCTGCCCAATTCCCAAAGGGACATAGTTAACACCGATGGTCTCCAGTTTGCTCCTCACACTAAACTCATTAATTTCTCTCTAATTTGACATGCAATTTTCTGTTATCAAAACTCTTGACCAGTGCTTGATAATTACACTCATGGGAGACATGGGATTTCTCTTAACATACATAATATCTGTAACAGTTATAGATTGCTGTCAATATATGCTGAAAAAAATAAGTATTTTCTTGATTTAACACTTTTTTAATAAGGATACAACTAAAATTTTGCATTTTTTAGGATTATGAAATTCAAAATTTAAAAGACTTAGTTTTTAAAAAAATTTCACTTAAATTAAAGGTCACAGTGACCTTGAAATAGGTCGCGACACACCTTCTACCCAAGATGTATACATTTGCCAAGTTTGATAGTTCTAGGTCTAATAGTTTACTAGTTATGAGCCGGACAGGATTTTTCCATATTTGGCCATAGCATCTTAATTAAAGGTCAGAGCGACCTACTTTTTGTGCACGACACACCGTCTACCCAAGAAGTATCAGTTGACAAAGTTTGATAATCCTAGGCCTATTAGTATTGAAGTTATGAGCCGGACAGGAATGGACAGCTGGACAGACGGACGGACGGACACGAAGCCTATAACATAATACGTCCCGTCTTAAGACGGGCGTATAAAAATTGTCAAAATCCCAAAACAATCGCTCTTTAAAAAATACCCACTATACATTGTAAGGGAGAAAGGTATGCCACTCCGGTTTGTTTACGTTATACTCCCACTGGTCTTTGGGTTTAAAAACATGTATTTATTTTATTTTAACCTAAAATGTTGATTCACATCGTCTCTGCATATATTTCTGTCTTAGTGCATGCTATCAGATTAACTCTGCATTTCGTAAGAATCCCACAATATCTGATTATCTCCTTAAACAGTTTTCCAGTCAGAACGCTAAAATTTCCCTAGGTAATCGCAACGGAAGTGCAAAAAGAATGTTTTACTTATTAGGATAACGTCCGAGAGAGCTTTGTCTGATGTAATAATCTCTCTCAGGTTTTATCATATATTCTCTTTGCACTTCCGTTGCTTTTACTAAAGGAAATTTGAAACCGGAGTGGCATACCTTTCTCCCTTGTAATGTATAGTGGGGTATTCTTTTTTTTTGTGGAGCAATTGTTTTTGGGTTTTGATGATTTTTTCAAATTGTACACATAATGAATGAGTGTAATAAATATAATTTTTGAAAAATAATGTCCAATTAGCCCCGGGGTTTAATATCGGGAGGGGGGGGGGGGGGGTCCTGTCCATAAGTACCTGTGGGTTAGAGAGCAGAAACTGAGAATTTCTTATTTCAAGTTCAAGAGGGATAATTCTTGAAAAGGGAAATCATTGGACCATGACAAAATTCGATAAGGTGTATTACTATGATGTATCCTTATGTTGCCAATTTAAAATATTGAATGGAAATTCAAAGATGTCATATAATTATGTGAAAATTAAGTTAACAAAAGACAAATCAGATAACTGATCCTCTGGCTCACTGGTGAGCTATCACTGGTGAGCTAAAACCAGGACTTTTCTAATTGTAATGAGATGTTTGTTAAACACTTATGCCCCCCCCCAAAAAAAAATTGGAATTTTTCTAAGACCAAAAGGGCATAACTCTGTCAAAAATGGCGCTATTGTACCCAAAACATATTCATGTGATATATCTCTGTATAACAAAGGATGAGGTGACCTAACTGCTATCTGGGGCCCCCTTTTCCACAGAGAATTATATTTAATCTACAACGATGTTGTTAGTTTTTAAATATGAGTGAATAAATACGACGCCTTTTGAATAGTTTCAATAGTTCAGACACAGTTTAATTATAAGGAATACTGCAGTATCTTTGATTTTTTAGACCCTATCACAGCTAAATTCGGCCAGGTTTGTGAGAATATTTTCTTTTTAATGGCAAGAAAATGGGCGGGTCTTAGTACAATAGAGGGACATGCGTGTCCGAGAAGACCTTATATGGCTTTTGTTATTATTTCGCACTACCCCTACCCCAATAAAAGATTTATATCTTTCAAATCACGTTGCTATTTTTGCAAAAAATAGTATTCTATAAAAGTACACAAATCAGTGATTAGTTGCATACGAAAATTATAGTAAAATTTTGACATTTAATTTTTTGTCAGTATACGAGGGGCCGCAAGTCACCTCATCCTTTCAGTATGTGCAACGGTTGTGAAGAAAATGAATGGAAACTAAGTGGACAAACAGACAGCAACAAAGCAATATGCCCTCCCTTCTTCAAAGGGGGACATAACAACATGTTCTGTTCATTAATCTTGGCCTTTTGAATTTATAGGCATATTTGAATTGATTATAAATTTAGTATTAAACCATAAATTTTCATTTATTGGAATTTAGATTGGCAGACCCCTTTAACTGCATAAAAATACAATAAAATAAGAACTAGTGTATAAAAAGAGTTCTTGAGTAAAAATTACTTACACTGATCAGATTTTGTTTGTACTCCTCATCCTGGACAAGACATGGCTTAAGAGCAAGTAAATCTACAGCAACACCGGTCATCATAGAGAAGAATTCCTTACACAGAGTTACACAAGGTCCTTCATTGGCTATACTTAAACCGACAAGGATCCCAGCTAATTTGTAATATCCTTGGTTCAGTTTCATTATGTCATGACTCAGTACACGGTTTCCACAAGACCCCTCAAACATACTGCTACTTCCCAACTCCTTTATGGCCAATCTATGTAGAGGGTTCAAGTTATAACAATTAAGGCATGATGAATTTAACAATAAAATATTTTTTTTAGTTGTTATTAGTATGGAAATTAATGTTGCAAGCACTACAAAATAAAAAAATATCCCTTGTAATCATGTTTACTGAAATAGTTAAGTTTAGCCAGTCTGATATAGAAATGTGTAATTGTTTGGGCCACAATATCCACTATCAGCCTGGGTACCTGTAGCTCATTCATGCAGTAGAGCAACTATTAACTACTGACTAGTTATACAGGGGTCCCAGGTTTGATTCCCAGTCCTGCCATACATTTTCTCCTGTATGGCCTTTAACTAAAATTTTTAGGCATTGGTAATTCTCAAAAGCACCTAACAAAGACAATTTCTGAATTTTTTCTTGTTTTGAATTCCTAATGTATCACATGAGTCAATATTTGTATCTTAACCTCCCTATGGTTGCAAATCAATTTTCTAGAGCATATAAATTATATGTATGTTATAGCTTTAATGTTCTCAACCTGAACAACTCTCTTCTTGGTCCACCATGGTCCATTCCTAGTTCTCCACTGAATTTAACATACAGTTTGCACATTAAATCAAAAGACGGTCTTTTCAATGCTCTAAACACTGATCCAAGCACATCGCTTCTTTTCACAATGATTTCCTGCTTGTCAAATTTATTTATCTTCTTTAGGAAATCCTTCATTATGTCAGACAAGTGGCGTCCAGCAACTGATTTACCCCTACACAAAAAAAGAAAACACAAAAGAATTAAAATATTATTTTAACAAGAGACCCATAAACCACAAGGCTCACCTGAGATACTTTGACCATGCTTTTCTTTACCAGATTTTCCCCTTTGTAATACATGTACCTATTGTTGGCCCATCTTACTGGGGGGGGGGGGGGTATTTGAACAATTTAGAATCTATTTTATTTCTTACGTAGCTTGTAACAAGAGTTTTGATTTGTTACAAAGTCAGGTGTAAATTTCCATGCATCAAACTTGAGCCTGGGGTTAATTTAACGTGACATCACAATGCATAGTTTTTCTATGTGACATAACAAGCAAATGACATGATGTCACGATGCATTGAAGTATTTAGTAAATCTTTTCTATAGGTGGAGACACAGTTGATTGGACTTGGAAAGAAAATAATTGGGAACATATGAAATAAATTCGTTATCCAGGTCTAATCAAGGGTGTACTGGGATTTACCCGTTACCCTTTGGCCTCAAGGTGTATGGAATCCCAGATTGCTTCTACATGTTTCAGCTTTTTTGGCCCAGTGATTTTTAAGATGAAGTCCCCTTTAAGATTTTTCATATATACTTCAATTTAAACTTGGATTTCCTATTGATGCCTCACGCTACCTCTGGAGATCATGGTTTGAACAATTCAAAATCTACACTACCCCAAGATGCTTCCACATATCTTTCAGTTTTTTGGCCCAGTGGTTCTTGAGGAGATTTTTTAATGATCCCACTCTACTTTTGTCTTCTTCTCTTGATTATCACTCCTTGTAAGGGAACTTGGCCCTTCATTTGAACAATTTAAAATTCCGTATAGCTAAGGATGATTTGTACTAAGTTTGGTTAAAATTGGCCCATGCAGTGGTTCTTGATAAGTTTTAGTAAAAAATATTGAAAGTTTACAGATGGATGGACAAAGGGACTGACAGACAAATGACGGACAATGGGTGATCAGAAAAAGTTCACTTGTGCTTTCAGCTCAGGTGAGCTAAAAACTAGCTGATGTTACTATTAATTATTTTTTTTTACAAAGGCAGGGTTTACAACTAAATATCTGAATGATTTTTGTTACTACTTTCTAAATAGTGTTAGTAAATATTACAGTGTACCATGTCTATGATGAGACAGCAGCTATACTGGTTACTGGTGTGTCCTTTATTCCTCATTTTAACACAGTTTTTACATTGATGTATAATATGACAATAATTCACTGTTGTTTTAATGTTAAATGTCTTCTGGGCACATCTCAATTTTAACCATTTTATTAATTCTAAAAAAAAACAGAAGTCTCTGTCGAGACTGAAGCTCTACTGGTTTGTACTTATAGCAAAGGAAGAGAAAAGTACTTAAGCAGTTGGAGATTGAAACTTTTCAACAGCAATAGAATAATGATCCTTGACTAAGTCTCATTATGTTCTTAGTGCAGTCTACTTGCATGCCACATTAATATTACAATCAGACTAAAATTGTATTTGGAGTAGCATTTTGAAAGAATTTCACAGAAATGTCTATTTTTAGTAACCACAGCAACACCGTTCATCGAAATCAAAAACTGATACACAGAATTATGTAATCTTAGTGAAGTCTACTTGTGTGCCCAGTTATATTGAAATTAGACCAAAACTGTAGGAGGAGTAGCATTTTGAAAAATTGTTTACAGACAGACAGACAGACAGACGGAAGGACGGACGACAGACGCATTACTATCGCATAAGCTCTTCTGGTCTATGACCAGTAGAGCTAAAAATGAAGACAGAACTCACTCATAGATAGAATCTTGCAAGCTACTTTCCAATACCCTCTGTAGCTCTTCATCCTCTGAATCAATTATCTCAATACATGGAGAACTAAAATAAACAAAGACATACATGTACAAATTAATGCAGAATCATTTAAATTCATAAGAAGTAAAGGAATATTAATTATTTCACAGGAGGTTCCAGGAAAAGATTTTCAAAGATTTTATGTACAGCTTACTCCGGATATATTGAGATTCAGGGGACCATGCAAATTGTTAATATATCCGTAATTCAATATAAGCAAAATCGTGAAGCCGCCATTTTTACTTGTTCAATCCCGATCTAAAATAAAGAAGAACTAACCCGAACAAATTAATTTTGTCATCGTTTATCTATAACAGTGAACAGATTACATAAAATATGTCCTTGAAAGTTTAAATATTTGTTTTTATTTCTGTTTCATTGAAAAGACAATCTTCAACCTCATTATATTATTCCCTGATCGCATTTATTTACGTTTTGGAGAAAATTCAGCAGGGGTAAACAGTTGAGTACTGCTGAACGCTGCTTGTATTTCATAGTAAGTGTACTCAGGTTAATCCCTTAGTTATTTCGAATTTAGGCATATCAATAGCCATTAACTGTATATACATATTTCATTTTGAAGTTATGTTTTTTTCCTAGATCTGTGAGGGTTACTAATTATAACGTTTAGCTGTTTATTCTCCATATATGTCTGTCTTACGCAAAGAATTTAACAATGAAGAGTTTTATTTCGTAAGAGCATGCAGTATAAAAACACATTAGGTGAAAACTTCATTATTCACACCTTTATATATCAACTGGTCAATCATGATCAGGCATAATTTGTGTCACCAACCGTAACGACAGCTGCCAGGAAGTACTTCAATATAACCGTTATGAAAACAACTCATTATCACCTGTGGGGCCCGATCAGTGGCTTCAATATATCCGATTTTAATATAAACATTATTTTAATGCCGGGAATATGAGAGGCAAAACCCGGGGATTTATTTCTATTTTAAAATAAGAGGAATTTCAAAATAAGCGAGTTCAATATAAGTGGAGTAAGCTGTATTTTCACTATATAATCAATAGAGCCCCGCCCTAACACCAGAACCCCAACTCTGGTGCCATGATATTCACAACTTTGGAGGAGGCAGCCTTATCCAACATATTTTCTTGGTTAGTTTATTTGATACCCAGGAGCAGAGAAGAAGATTTTTAAAGAAGTAATTTATTTTCACTATAAAATCAATAGAGTCCCACCTTAGCCTTAGAACCCCCTGACCCAGGGGCTAAGAAATTCATAATTTTGAGAGAGGCAGCCTTAATTATTCAACATAACTATGTACTTGGTTAATTTATTTAATGCCCAAAAGCATCAAGAATATTTGCAAAGAAATAATGGATTTCGACAATTATCTATTTAGCCCAGTCCTAGAACTGAAACCCCTGACCCCAAGGCCATTAATTTCAAAATTTTGGTAGAGGACTCAATGCTAATTACGATCATGCCAACAGTTTGACTGCTTGATGAAGAGATTTTTTAAAGATTAATTGTTTTAATTTTAGTGGTTTGGGTCCCACCTCTTAGGCCCCACAGGACCCATAGATACTTGATGTCAAAATTGGTTGAAATTGTTTGGGTGGTTGCAGAAAAGAAGCTGAAAATGTTCAAATGTTAAGGCAAAGCACGGACGGAAACGTTTAATCAGGTGACCTAATAACTGAAATATTTCATTGAGCTAGCTGCAAGGATGTCAGATCTTTACAAAATATGCTTCACTGTCAAAATATGGATTTTTTGTTAATATATGATTAGTGTAAAACTTTTCATGCCAAACAGCTTCATCATTATTCTGAAACTTCTATATATAAGCTTGCTTCACTTGAATCCCCAATGTGACCCTTCCTACCTTTTGATTATTTTAACAAATTAACTTATGAACGGTAAGAAAAATTATACAACAGTTTTAGAATTACTTGCTATTTCATTCTTGAGAATTAATATTTTTATAACACCTTAACTTGTTTTTGTTATTTCCCTATTATCCCCCATTGGAAGGAACCTTGCCCTTCAAACCCCTCACCCAGGTATGCTTTACATCAAGTTTAGTTACAATTTTCCCAGTGGTTCTAAAATATAAAAAAAAAGAAATTACAGACAGACAAAATGTGATGAGAAATGCTCACTTGAGCTTTCAGCTCAGTTAAGTAAAAAGTAAATATACCCAGTCTCTGTGTCCTGAATTCCACACACTCCACCACTTGCAGTGCTGACACTTGCTGACCGCTACAATGCACAGTGATACATGCAGAAAGAATGAGAATACAAGCCATTGTACTTAACTGTTATTGTACGAACAATATATCTGGTTATTAATGAAAGTCTTAATTTAAGTTGGGTTGGCACAATCATCATATTACCTGTTGTAATGCAAACTGAGGGAGAATTTAAAGAATAGCTCTCTTTAGGACAATGTTTATTTCTTTTCCAAATTTGATCCTTACAATAATTTTGAGCTATCATGCACATAAAAATTGGGCTGTACCTGAGTAACTGTTGCTATAGTGTTATTACAACGAAGCGCTGCTCTTCTGAGAGTCCTTTTACGTCGAACAGGTACAAGAGGAGCAAGATCTGAAGAAACATTCGCATCAACCTGAAATAGTTTCAATCGTTATCAAGTAAACAGAACAACAGAAAGGACAAACTCTTATTTTGGGATACATTTTTCTGACAAGTGAAAGTTACAGTTTAATTATTACTTTCTCTTTGCCAACACTCTGACTGCACCAGTATACTGTAAATCAACTTTTATTCGCATGCAAGAAATATTAGCAACCTAATTTTAATCGCGTCGCTAATATTTATCAACCTGAACCAATAATTTCAATAAGTATTTGTACAGAATGTTTTCTAGGTTGCGAAAATAAATTGTTGCAGATCAATTTCAAACTGATTAATCACAATTATATAAATATATCATTTTCAATTATTTTTTAAAGATAAAATTAAGTTTTAAAATATATTACAAAGGGTGTGGAAACTGCAGAAGTGGATGATTCTGAATGTCTACCATCCTTTGGACTTTCATGTAAAGTTTTTTCAATCACATCTGAAGACTATAAACAAAAAAACATAAATAATGAAAACTTACGAAGCTCACCTTATGAAAGTTATCAGTTTAAATACAGTAATGCAATTCTCACTTCATATTTTTTAACAGTTAGTTTTTATCCTGACAACAATGTTCACGCAAACGTTCTTAAGGTTCATTGGGGATTGACCTGTTCCAAAAACTTTAACCTGGTCACTCGTTTAGAAAATGTAGGTCAGATCCAACATCCTCAGCAAGTTTACAATGTCCATCCTCAGATGCATCATCCATGCAAGTTTGGTCCAGGTAGGGCTTATAGATTATTGGGAATTAATAACCTAGTCAGTCATCTGAAAATTGTACGAAATTCAGGTCGAGCATTTGAAGCAAGTCTGGTGGTGTCCATTATAGATGCATCATAAAATGCAATTTGGTCCAGGTAGGGTTTATAGTTACTTCGGAATGGACAGGCTCCAAAAACTTGGACCAGGATGTCGGCGCTAACACTAACGCCAGGGGTATGCATCTTGATTTCATACATATATACATGTATGTATTAAGCAAGGGTGTAATTTAAAAAGATGACTTCTAGAATATTAACAAAACACATTATGAAGGACCATGTCCATACTGCACCCTAATTTCAGAGTAAAGTTTTGTGTTTTAACATTCAAGAGAATAAATTGTAATGTACACTGTATGGCATAAAATCATTTGAAGTTTTTTTAACATTATAAATGTATTTGACCAAGATAAATAGGTTACAACTTTATTTGCATATTTTTTTTATATGAATAAGCAAAAGCTATTTTACTTGATCATAACAAGTTGCAATAGTGTCCTAAATTAAAGATTTTTCATGGATAAAATGAGGTATTCTGCCTACATTAAATGTGAATAAGTTTATTTAAAAACCTTCCTTACATAATATTAAATTCTAAAAATCAAAGTGCAAAAATCATTTTGAAATTCATCAGTGACTGAGTGTTATATGTATCTTTCACTTATATATATATGACTATAGACAGGTTAATACAGATAATTATGCATGGGCAAATACAATGGCAATTTTAATGTGCTATAAAATTTATCAAGAGCTCTTAGCTAAATAAAGTTTGGAATCTATATTGCATGCATCCAATTAATATAATAGCAATGCAAGACAGATGCTTTTTGACTTAAGTCGTATTTTAAGTTCATTTTACAAAAAAAATATTCTTGTACATAAATCATGTTAATATATAGTTACCAATTGTAACTTATTAATTAAAATGCACTTACTGCAGAGACATTTCTGGTTTGTAAAGGATCTGGTAGTTCACCATCAGAGCTTAAATGACCAGACTCATCATTCATTGTCAACTAAAAAATAATGAAACATGTTTGTAAGGTTTTTGTTATATACCAGTCTCTCTCTCTCCCATTTATATTCAGCTTAAACTCCCTCTGTTCATTCAATATACATACTTGCTTCTTGTCTTCTTTGACCATGACATACAATTTTCCTTGTCCAATGTTAGCTTTTAAACATTCCCCATTCCACTGGAATCCAGGTGGAACACATGGCAGGTTTAGAACTTTACCACTGTAGGATAGAAACACTATTCTGTCTGCGGTATATGAACCACCAGTTGATTGTTGAAGCAAGGTGGCAAGGTTTTCCTTGATTGTTGATTCAGAATCATAGGAGTTTAGGGTAAAAATTCCTTCTACAATGATTGAGTTCCTTGTCCACAGAGAAGGGAGTGGTACATCACTAACAAAAATGACTTTACAAGTTTTCTGGAAACCCTTCTTCTTTGCTACATGTACTTTGTAGCTATTTCTAATGTCTTTCCTGCTTGTAAGGAATTTTGGGTTTGAGAGAGGAGACTGTCCAAATACTTTGGATACTTCTGTTGCCAAATTATTAGTGGATAAAATTTGTCGAACTTCTTCTGAAAATGATTGACATAAACAGTTAAAAAGCCATTCATATATTGATCAGCACTAACTGATTTAACTTATGAACAGTGTTTTCTTTGAACATATATAATTAATACAATTGTATCAGGGCAAGGAAACCATTTTACAGAAGAACATACAACAACAGTTCAGTATTCACAACAATTTTTTTTCAGCACATGTCCTTCGGGCATGTATACCGGTCATTTTAAACCAGCCCATTGAAATTTGTACATGCCCTACTCAAAATTCATTCCTATAGCACATATATGATTGTGCACCAAAAAATAAAGTTTTTATATTTACTATAAGGACAGTGTTTCTTTTTTTAAATTCTCTCGATCTTAAGTTTAAATTGTTTCCAGAGTTTTAAATCAACTTTGTCTAAAATAACCTTACAATATTGTTGTCTACTTATTTTTACACATTTGGTTTAAAATCACCAAAAAATCTGCATAAATTATTTGTATTGGTTTATGGTATATTAATAGACTAATATACATGCAGTTCAACGAAATAATTGTATGATATTTTTTAGAGACATATAAATTTGTTAAAACACAAGCACATTATAACTTATTTAAGCATCAATTAAGAAAATAATCTTCAATTTTTACCTTTAGCATTGCTTGACGTGACAAATAATTTGTCTATGGAGTGGGGTATAATAAATCCCCCACTTCCATCTGTTGGTACTGCCATCCATTTGCTGTTAATCTGGTACTTAAGGCCTGTAGCCGTCGGAAACTGGGAGACCAGTGTTGACTGTTTAACTTTACCTTCAGAGTCGACTGGCATAAATATGCCGGGCCCATTATGGTTAAAGCAAACTTCAATATGTTGGTCACTAAACATTGCTACAATAATAGACAATAAAAGACATTAAAATTCACTTGCAGCAGAATTAATTACAATTCCATATTTGTTTCACCATTTTACAATTTCAGATACATGTCAAATGAAAAAGTCTTGTATTATCACTAGAATTTGCTTTTTAAAGCCTTTGTGAATGTGTCCTAGATAAAAGACATTTTAAATGTTTACATAGTTGAAGAAACCTATGGATACAGAACCCGGGGAGGGGGTCCCATCCCCAAACTCCTGTGGCTAAATGATATTGTACTGCACCTGCTGACAAAGTACAGTTCAAACTACTTTAGCTACAAGAGGCTCAAGGGCCACATCACTCACTTGTGCACCATGGCTAGGAAAAAGTAAAAAGCAATCAGTCGTGAAAAGTTAAAATCTCGACTTTCCCCTAAAATGGGGGATTATGATCTGAAATACCCTGAATCTACACTATCTAAAAATGCTTCAATATTTCTTTTACTTACTGTGGTGTTTTTCCTATGAGTCTGAACTTTTATTTTGGCCTCACCCTACCCCCCGGGGTCATGACTAGAACAAACTTGAATCTACACTACCTGAATATGCTTCAACTTAAATATGACCAGTCATGGCTTTGTTAAAAAATTTCTTCATCAGAAGATATTTTAAATACTTTTCCCATGTATTCCTATGTAAAACTTTGATTGACCATTGTGGCCCCACCCTACCCTCAGGGGTCATGCTTCTTGAATTTACACTACCTGAGGAACGAGGATACTTCCATGTAAATATGACCAATCCATATGGCTTTGTTTCTCTGGAGAAGAAGCATTTTCCTATATATTTCTATGTAAAACTTTGATCATCCACTGTGGCCATACCCTATGCCCCGGGGTCATGATTTGAACAAAGTTACCTCTACACTACCTGAGCATGCTTCCACATTAGTTTCATCTTTCTTGACTTCTCAAAGTTAGAAGATTTTTCAAATGTGCCACCAAATTTATACTATTTCTTAATAATCTGCCCTTTAAAGAGAGCAAAGCCCTTGAATCCACTTTACCCAAGGCTGTTGTGTGGCAAGTTTGGATAAAATTGGCCCAGTGGTTCTGGAGAAGAAGTCCAAAATGTTAAAAGTTTATAGATAACGGACAAACTATATACAGACAAAATGTGATCAGAAACCTCATTTTAGCTTTCAGCTCAGGTGAGCTAAAACCTATTCAAATTGCTTTAATAAATATGATTAGAAATTAAGTAAGGCATCTATTTAGATAGAATGTCCTTTCCTTATAA